CACCTGGGTGGCTCAGTCTGTTGAGTGCCCAACTCTTGATTTCAGCTCAGGTCAAGAAGGTGCAGTTCATGAGACTGAGCCCCGTGTCGGACTCTGCGCTGACAGTGTGGAGCCTGCTTGGAGTTCTCTCTCTCCCTTTCTCCCTGGCCCTCCCCAGCTCACACGCCCCTGCATTTACATGTACAAGGGTCTCTTTCTCTCTCTCTCAAAATAAACATTAAAAAAAAAGTTCAGAAATTTTACCTTTTGTATCAGGATGTATCCAGGATGTTGCACAATTAATTTTCAAAGGGCAGCCATCAAAAACTTTAGAAAAACATGCTCCCATCTTATTTATAAAGAAAGAAATGTTGACTTATTTGATTATGTAATTTTATATATTCTTAGAAAGCAGCTAAGAGTACAAAATGCTAAACTCGCTCTTATTTGCATATGTTTATGGTTTCATTACCAAACAAAATTCGTATTTTGATATCATTTAACTCCTTCTACCAAGAGAGTCTCCTACTGTTGCCTTGTGTAATTCACTATTTCAGGGCAAAAAAAACAAATTTACCAAAACATCTACACATGTCAGTAATATATTTTAGGAATTTTAAGTCACCACTTATCTTTAGGACTAACATATAATAATGTGAAATAATGGATGATATTACTGAGCAACATCATAGTGATTATAATTATACTGTAACTCCATAACAATGAAACAGACAAAAAGACTACTATTTACATTACATATTAGGCTTTTACTGAAGAAAAAGGTACAATTTATAAAGCATCCCATTCATATGATTGGCTGAACCACCTTGAAGAGCCAGAGAACAAACATTTAAGATAAGCTTTCCAGTTTACTGTGTGTAGTTCAATGTGAAAGTGGCTTCAGGGATAGAAAGGTATTTAACCCCTATAATCAAAGGACACAGTACTATTTATTATCATTATCACATTAAAGTTAAACTGGTCTTTGAAGGTTAATCTGAGAACCCAGCTGCTATATAATATGCAAAACGTGAAACTCTCCAAGTTCTAACCAGGTCACTCACATTAGGGTACATGATTTGATTCATGGTGTATTAAAATGCATTTAATGCCTTTGTATTTTACGAATCCTTCCTCTCAACAGCTCAAGATACTTGACAGCAAATAAAAAATCTACTGCTGCTTCTAAAGAGATGAAAATTGGCAAGTGGTTCACATAAAAATATTCCTTACCAGTACTTTTGGGGTGGGTGGAAGGCCATTGATGGCTGGTTTCTGTGGGAAAAATAATTTTTATTGCTATAAGACTTCTTAAGCCTTAAAAAAAAACCCTATACATTTGGAAATTCATTTATTCAATTCTTGAACTAAAGAGACTATGCCCCCGGCCCACCAAAACAGACACTGCCTGTATATGATAAACATGGTAATAGTTACAACTAATCACCAAATGCCTGTTATACCTACCGGGAAATCTCGTTTGTCCTTTTTCCGTGGTAACTGGGGTGCTTGTGCTGATCCTTCTGTGTTTTCACTAATTAGTTTTGAAATACCATCACCATTTCCTAAAATGAATCATGGTTAAAAGCTGAATGAACATACAAATAAGTACCTTCCTTGAAAAATAATTTTCCCTTTCCCCCAACACTTGTTTTCCATTTGGGTGATCCTTTACTGGGAAATATTCTCTACTGGCATATGAGTTAGAATGTCTTCAGTGCCTTTTTCTAGATTCAACAGAGGTAGGACTGCATCTTTAGCAGTGGCTTAATCCATGTAAACAACAAATGTCTTTCCATACTGTAAAGAAAACAAAATCCGATATTCAGATATTCAGGCCTGAATATCAAGCCTGATATTCAAGGCCTTTCATAATTGAACTTCAATCTACCTTTTTAGTCCTATCTCCTAGTATACACTTTTCAAAAGCTCACACTTCTCCCATACTAGAGTATACTTCCAACACAATCCAGGTTTTCATGCTTCAGTGCATTTTTTCATTCTTTCTTGCTTATCAGGCATGCCTGTCAGCACTGGCTCCCCCTAATGAAGGACCCATCCACTTTAATGCTCTGCAAGCCTGCCTCTCTCCCTCTAATCCCTATCCTTATCTTCCTGAAAAACCTCTCATCTTCTATTACATATAGTTAATTATTGTATGAGACACTTATACAAGCTGTCTTGTCTAATGTTACAGGTACCCGCAGGGTATAACTTCTGCTACAGGTCCTGAACTTCTGGAGGGCAGGAACATCGATTTATCATTCTTAGACCTATCATATTTACTTGGACTGGATCTATTCACAGCTCCGCCCATGTGAAATTTTAAAGTAACTTCAGAAAGCTTTAAACAGTTAAAAGATTGACCAAAGACAGTCTTTAAAATATGAAAATGGCTTTCTGTTCAGTTTTCACTTTTATTTACCCAGATCACAGTATCTAGCTGTATGCACTCCAGGACTGCTCACACTGCTAGCCATACCAATAGAGGATGTCTCAGCTATGGGACCACAACTTGGGCTGCTCTGTCTTCTGAGAAACTGGGGAGCTCTGTGCTCTGAATCAGGGCAACGTTTTACAGTTGCTGATTTTTCTTCATCTAGGAGGCTGTCTTCAGGGTAGCTGTTTATCCTTGGCTGCAATAAGAAGATACAAAAGTACTTTAATAAATTTGGATACAGAACAGTAACACTTCATTACCATTACACACCAAAGACTTCAGGGGGTGGGGAGGTAGGTGTTTTGTTCTTTTTGCTATGTAATTCAATTTACTGGGCTAAGTAAGCAAAATAAACAAGAGCTGAATTACTGTCCCAACACAACTAAGAGATTGCTATGTGATTTTTTAATCACCCCTAAGCCAAAACTGATATAATTTTAAATGGATGAAATTATATAAACAATCCATAAAGTATTTAATAAGTAGGAACAAGCAAGGACTTAATGAAGTAAACTGTATATATTTAAAGCATATTTAAGACAATTTTGAACAAATTCAATAAAATTATTTTAAATTATTTTGTTATTAAAAAGAAGATTAAAAAAATTTAAGTAGCTTACCTTAGGAGGTAGGGGAGGTGGTACTGCACGTTTTGAGGTTGATCTAACATAAGGAGAAAAATGCAATTCAGATGGTAGTAAGTGTAACATAAAACAGAGACTCTACTAAGTGTGCATTAAAATATATTTATATTCTTTAGATCATGATGAGGAGTATTTTTAAAGCCTACAGAAAGACCTAAGACTTCATTGTGTCAAACTGTATTAGTAGGACTATAAAACAGATTTTTATAAAATGAATACAAAGTCTTTTTACTTTATGATTATGCTTTGCATATTTAGTATGTAATAAAAATTCAACTTAGTAAAAAACAGATTCCAAATTTTAGAGCTGGAAGCCACTGTGAATCATAGATTCAAGTGGCTATATCATTAAACTCTTTTTGCTACCCCAAGTGGGGTCCATAGATCAACAATATTGGCATTACCTTGAAATTACATATGTACCGTCAAGACCTATGAAATGAGAACCTTCAGGTGATCCTCCAGGCACATCACAGCTTGAGAATCACTGATCTAGCTCACTGGTTCTATATACTTATCTACAGTTATTACAATCAATTAGGAAGCTTTTTAGGATTCTTAGAGTCCAGTCCCAAAGACCGTGTTCTACTACAGGGGTTGGCAAACTTTTTCTGTAAAGGGCCAGATAGTAGTAAATATTATAAACTTCAGTGTATACAGTGGTCACAACTCTTGACTCCTTTTGTTAAAGCAGCCGTAGGTAATATATAACTAATAAGCATGGCTGTGTCTTAACGAACCTTCTTCATGGACGCTGAAATGTTCATATAATTTTCTCACATATAACAAAATATCACTCTTCTTTATTAAAAAATCTAAATACCATTTTAGTTTGTGGACTGTAGAAAACATAGGCAGTGGGCCAAATATGACTTACAGGTCATAGTTTGCCAACCCCAGATTTATAAGCTGAATGTTGGGGCCACAGAGATCTGGACTTCCAAAGACCTCTACCTCTCCAGGCACTGCAGTGTACACACTTGGAACATCTAGACCGGCCCTGTAACTTACTTGTTGAGGGAAGACAGGTCTATAACATAGAGTAACTATACTGCAGAAGCGATTTGGGGTTTTCTGACTCTGACAGCATTTTTTCCCATGACATTATGTACCTCATCTTTCAGTAAATTAACAACACACATACTAAGTTCAATTTAAAGAAGAAAACCTTAGTGATGAACACATAATGCCTTTTGGTAACTAAAAAGTCAGAAGTTTTACACTGATGGGACGCATAGCACAATTTTTTTAAGAATCAAAATTAAAATTTATTAGAATAAATTGCTCCTTCCCAATACTGTTCGTATATAATCAAGTAAAACATAGTTATTAAATTAACAAACAACTTACTTGCCAGTATTTGCACCATCAACAAAAGGATTCCACTGTAATACAAAGTTTGGGTCTGATGACACTCCCTGTGAAGGTAAAAATAGTTTAAAATGTTCCCTTATAATATTTGATTCAAGATAATATTCAGTGTCATGATTGTTAATCATCTTGGCTTTCAATCAGTTTTTTCATCTCCAGTTAGATTTGCTGTCATTTGACATATTTAGGTGAATGACTCACTATGAGTTGAGTTAAACTTAAGAAATTCCATAAACATACTGAATATAGTTTCAATGTGACAAGCCCTCTTTACCAATGCTAGTATATTGCAAGTAAACAGAAAAACATAACACTGAATTATCTGCATCACTAATCCATTAGTGTGGAAAACATCATATTATTAAATTATCATTAACTTATTGGTGCTACTATTTTTTCCCACTGGCATGGAAACTGAGAATCATGTATATAGCAATATATACAGTAAGAAGAACACTGCTTCCAAATGTTAAAAATGAAGAGATCCATTAACAGAAGGCAGTTACTCTAAAAATAATACTTTGTACCAAGCTTAAAAATAAAGTAAATGTTAAAATAACATCTAGGCAACTCTAACAATACCTTGCTCTATTTATTACTTTTTTCCTTTTAGATAAGAAAAGGTTTAATTAAATAGTAACCTCAAAATATAAGAGCAATGGTTAAAAAAGAAGCTATATTAAATAAATACTAAAAACAGTAAAGTAAATGCAAAATATACTACAAACCTAACAGAGTCAATAAGAAAAAAGATCCTGAGAGCTTAAAGCTAAACATCAAATTCCATATATTTCATAACTTCATGGAATTCCTTCAAAAGACTCACAAGGGTCAAAATGAATGGTTAAAATGGTATATTACACATTGCACCCTAGTCAAAATATGCCCAATGATAAGCTTTTTCAAACTTGAATGTGTGACATACAGTATCAAAATTAATGCTTGAAAGAATATATAACTTTGTTCCTTAGTCAAAGTTTACCTAACTATAAGTTTTCTCAAATTTTAATGCGTAAAGTAGTTCTGAAGTAGTAATTCCTACCATTTCATCCCGTGCTTCTGTTTCTTTTCTCAGAGGAGGTTCAAACTGTAATTTGTCAACTGCAAAATATGTAACAGATCTGTCTTAAAGGGTTAATTTCAGAAATGTAACAAGAAGCATATGCATTGGGTAGAGGGGAAGGGTGAAAGGAGAAGAAAGAAGACAAAATTTTTTCATTTTTTCTGCAAGAGTACCTTTTTTATATTTACCAAAATAAGGTAACAATTTGGTATCTTACTACAAATCTACTTAGTAAATTCTTTGTGTATGAGATTTTAAAAAATTAAAATAGGTTACTAAGAAAACTAAAGGTGACTGAAGGATTGTCTCTGTTTAGGCTGCAGATTCTGTTCTAAGGATACAACTTTATGGCAGGGATGAACCTCCCCAAACTACCTATAATTATCTAAAAAGAACAAACATTATTTAAATTAAATGTTACAATGGAATTCAGAAATTTAGTGTTATATTTTGCTTGATGTATATTCTATTTGGCCTATTCTTTTACATGAAATATTCTAAAACAGAGAAAAGGACAGCTTATTATCTACTCATAAAGTACAAAGAATTTTAAAATTGCAAAAATCTAATGTGACTAAAAGATCAAAAGATCAAAAGAAAAAAATCATATTGCATCATAGAGATGTAAGATCCCCAAATACAATCTTGGCAAACAAAATATATTAAAACATCATTTTTTTTTTAACTTTTACCTTTTTTTTTTTTAAGTGGAATCTTAATTTTTTCAAATGTTTTATTTTTGAGAGAGAGAGAGAGAGAGACAGCATGAGCAGGGAAGGGTCAGAGAGAGAGGGAGATACAGAATCCGAAATAGGCTCCAGGCTCTGAGCTGTCAGCGCAGAGCCCAACGTGAGGCTCGAACCCACGAACTGTGAGATCATGACCTGAGCCGAAGTTGTAGGCTTAACCGACTAAGCCACACAGGCGCCCCTAAAAAACAATTTTAAAAAAGGATCCAGTTGTCCTTATTCCTAAGACAAGATTTGTAAAGTAATATAAAGTACTTACATAATTCATTAAATAAAAACACTGTCATAAAAATTTTCAAAAAAAAGATTGAAGACATTTCATAAAACACAGTATCTACTTTTAAAAAAAAAAACCTAAAATAAAAAGCTCTCTATTAACATAATTAAAAAACAGCTTAACTCAAAACCACTACTCTAAATCACTACTTCAACTCATCTGAGACAGAGATGAGCTAAAGTTTTTTTGTCACAACCAGAAATACTGGCAAGTAGGTCTAGAGATAAATCACAAGAGTGTAAGTATGGAAAAGAAAGAGAAAATACCACTTAATAAGAATTATATAGCAAACAAATGTCAAGACTTAAGAAAAGAAATTCCTAGAGAGAATGAGTTTCATAAATATTGAAGATGTTTTAACATATAAGACAAGTACTATTCTAAAACTACTGTAGCCACAACTATGGCACAGAACACTCTATCATTGTTTTATGTGGTAGATGGGACCTGAAGTTGTTTTGTTTTAGAGACAATACCGGCAGCACCTTTGGGTGCATCTTTGGCCTATGAAAATACAAGGATGGGGAGGTCTTCTATTACACATACTCATTTATCTCTGTAAGATGATGTAGGCTCTAGCCATAATGAGGTGACAGGAACTGTGTTTCTCCTTCTGCTTTAAACAACTGCATACATGTAACACTAGTGTGTGTGTGTACAAACTATGTGAAACAATGAATTCTAAGGCGGTAGGTAACAAATACACAGCGTTGCAGTCCTTGAGAGAAGGGAAACACATGGTGGTAAGATCCACATTCACTCTGGCTTTTTGTCTGGAGGCACTTTTCAAACTAGGGCATAACAAAGTGGAATCCAAAGAGAAAGCAACGGCCTCACTGGGTGTAGGAGACAAAGACTGAAGATTGAGGCTACTTAGGTAGTGGGAATTTGAAGGGCAGAGTGCCAGAAATAAGAAAGCTGCGTAAAGGTGGAGCTCCCGAAATATGCCAAGAGATCTCTAAGTTTCTGGCTGAATACTAAATTGGCCAAGAGCAAACACGAGTATGTCACAAATAGCTAGCAGAGGAGTGCTCAGCTAAATGCAGATTCTGGTGATCATACCGTACCAGGAAAGATAGCTGAATTTCTAACCAGAGGAAAGAGCCTGCTGAATACTCTGATAAAACCTGACACAAGCCTTGAAAGGATCAAGCTGACGTACCACTTACTTAACTCTTTAAACACCTTATGGAATAAAGAGGACAAAATTCAGACATTCAATGTTGCACCACAATGTTCAAGATACAATAAAAAAATGACCGTTGACAAGAAGAACAGAAAGCATGACTACTTGGAAAACAGATACAGAGCTTCAAACAAAGGGGTTCCAGGTACAACATTCCAAGTTTGCAAGGAAACAGGCCTCTGGGTCAATTTTCACAGTATTAGACTTGATATTTACCGTTTCATACATAGCCCTTTTTCGTACTGTCACATTTCACTTGAACTTTACTCTTTTCAAAACCCTCTAACTCTTCTTGAGGCAACTGGGTGGCTCAGTTGGTTGAACATCTGACTCTTGATTTTGGCTCATGTCATGATCTCACTGTTTGTGAGACTGAGCCCCATACTGGGCTCTGCACTGACAGTACAGGCTAGCAATTCTCTCTCCCTCTCTGCCACTCCCCCAGCTCATGCTTGCTGCGCTCCCTATCGAAATAAATAAGGCCTAAGAAGGGGCACCTGGGTGGCTCAGGCGGTTAAGCACCGACTTCGGCTCAGGTCATGATCCCATGGTTCGTGGGTTTGAGCCCCGCGTCACGCTCTGTGCTGACAGCTCAGAGCCTGGAGCCTGCTTCGGATTCTGTGTCTCCCTCTCTCTCTGCTCCTCCCCCACTCATGCTCTGTCTCTCTCTAGCTCAAAATTAATAAACGTTAAAAAATTTTTTAAAAGAAGAAAAAAAATAAAGCCTAAGAAAAACCCTCTTACTCTTCTTTTCCTTTGTTTCTTTAGACGTTCCATAGTTCCTCTGATGTATGTTTTCCTTCACTGCAAGGAGTCAAGAAATCTGACTTTGCTGGACTACACATTTATACTTGGTGTTTTCAGACCATGCCAGGCTCATAATAATTACTATGTCTACTAAAAATACACAGTAAGAATGCTTATACTAGTCATAATAGCCCAAAACTGGAAACAAATCAAACACCCATCAACCAAAGAATGGATAAACTGTGTTATGATCATACAATGAAATATGACATTACTGTGAAAACAATGAACAACTGCCATACATGACATGAATGACTCCCACAGACATAATGTTGAGCAAAAGAAACGAAGCAAAAAGGGTGCATTTTGCATATCCTATTTATCTGAAGATCCAGATCAGGTAAAAATCAATCTATGGTGATAAAATCAAAACAGAGATCAGCCTGGGCAGTAGAAAGGCCAGGAGGAAACAAAGATAGAAGGGTATTGATTGTAATGGAGGATGCAGAAAGGGACCTTCAGAGATTCTGATGATGTTCTATATTTTGATCCCCAGATCAAAAATCAGTTTCATGAGTGTATACATATTTAAAAATTTATCATGCAGTACACCTAAGCATTTTACCGTAAGTTACCAGCTCAAACTTTAAACATGAAACAAAAAACTAAGAATAGAGCTAACTAGGTGTATATAAAATCTATTAAACAAATAAAAACAAAGCTATAAAATACTCTTGATGGACAGAAAAGAAGACCTGAGAAAATTTACAGATAAATCACTAATAAAATGACCTTCAACTTTATCAAATTTTTTTTCTGGTACTGGAAGCACAGAGCTTACTCCATGAAGACATTAATACTCTGGGCATTCATATAAGAACTAAGTCTTGAACTTACGTCTGAAAAAACCTATTTTCAGTTAAGACAGACTATCCTAAAGGTGTTGACTCTCCCAAAGTTAACACATAAGCTTTTATGAGATCTCAGCAAAAACACTGAGAATTTTTTTTTAACTAGATAAGCTGATTCTTAAGTTTATGTGGGGAAAATACAATACCTAAATATCATGACAAAGAACAGGAACAAGGTATTTATGTGGGAGATGTGGGGGGTATAGGAGGAGGATTAGTCTTAATGATTTTATAAAGACATTTATAATCAAATTATGTTATTGGCACATGACTAGACATAATAACACAACAACAGAATTTCTGTTGAATCCAAAAAAATATATGGGCATTTAGTATATCATAAAGGTGGTATGTCAAATCCATTAGTAAAAATATTAAGTTTTAATAATTAGCATTTAGACAAATGGGTGGTCATGTAAAATGAAACTGAACCCATACTTTATACATCTTACCAAATAAATTAATACTATATATCAAAGATTTAAATATTAAAAAAGTGAAACTATAAAAATACAAGAAAAGTAATGGAATTCCTTTATAACCTTAAAATCAGGAAGGCCTTGCTAAATATGACACAAACCCCTAAAGCTATAGAAGAAAATACAGATACATTAGATTATATTAATTAAATATTTATACAACTGCA